TAAACAAATCATTAACTCTTTCTACTAGGCTAAAACTAAAGTACATTAACTACTTTCTACTAGGCGTAAACAAAGTACATTAACTCTCTCACTGGCTAAAACAAAGTCATTAACTCTTTCACTGGCTAAAACAAGTCATTAACTCTTTCACTGGCTAAAATAAGTCATTAACTCTTTCACTGGCTAAAATAAGTCATTAACTCTTTCACTGGCTAAAACAAGTCATTAACTCTTTCACTGGCTAAAACAAATCATCAACTCTTTCACTGGCTAAAATAAGTCATCAACTCTTTCACTGGCTAAAATAAATCATCAACTCTCACTGCCATGCCTTCTAGAACACTGTCACAGGCACATATTTGGGACACAAAAAAAATAGCCTCGAAAAGTATGATATTAAGTAAGCATTCATGAAAATAGCTAATCAATAAGATCAATAATTTTATAATCAATAAAAAAAGATCATAATTGATGCATATTATTCACAAATGTTGGAAATAAATGAACAAATTATTATTTTACTTCTTACAATCTGAGAAGATAATTATCTGTGAAACATTTCAGACATTTATCTCTTAAAACAAATCATGACAAGCAATAAATAAAATAATAATAGTTATACAAAACCACGTGTATCTTAAAAATAAACCAATGCTTGGAGAATTACTCATCTAAAAACATGGTAGTGAAAAATAATAGTTAAAACAATATTTCTTTTTCAGTATTATTATAATTCATTCTGTCACATTTTTATTTTTAACATAAGAAAGATCCTCGAAAGAATGGCTCTTTTCAATTCTTACAAAAACTGTACTTTGGTGACTCTTACTTTTATCCATTTCTGTTAATACCCAGTGTTTGAGCTAATGAGACTGAATAGAACTCATGAAAACCATGGAGAAAACAGCTTTCTATTACTGAGAAACCAGATCTTGTAATGCCCAATAAGTGCAGTCACTACCATGTTCTGTGTGAGAATGTGGATTGGGTATGGGTTTTACTCCCTCATCACCTGAAAACTAGTGTGAATTCAATCATGCTGATGGGCAATTCAGATTCTACACATCATAAAGAGTTTAAATTTATTCATAATTTAAAAAAAAGATAGTACTGTAAAGCTTTGTTTGGAAATTAACCACCAAATACATCTCCCTGACTCACAAACTGGCTGTTAAATATTACAAGAGGTAGTAACCAAAGTCAAAGTAAAAAACAAACAAACAGTGAAAATCTCTGATTCTCACAAAGCATTTAACAGGATTTGAAGATTGTCTTCAAAAACACTGGAAAAATCTTCACATTAAGCACCTAATAGAACTGAACAAATATTCTATAACATTAGTTAAAGGCTTACATGGGTGGTAATCATAAAAAAAAAACAATTTGTATAAACAACCTTAATGTTTATACTCTAAAACTTATATTAACAAACTTCTTTACTTGTATTCTAGCAACTAGTTAAACATAACTTCAGCCCCCCCCCCCTACACTGGATATGTAAATGATTAATTATAACTTTAATAAAATTAGTTTGATCACAAAATATACCATGCAAAGTTCAAACAATATGAGGGTCATAGAAAAAAAGAAAAACCCGGCATCACATAAAAACATCAGCTGTGTATGTTTCAGTATGCAACATTTTTATTTAGAGTAAACAAATACTTGTTTTAACCATAATTTTCCAGTACAGTACACTTCAAAATCATGATTTTTTTGCGGCTATGATTCAAGCACAGAACATTACCTGAAAACTCAACAGTAACATTTCTAAGTTTTTTTACAACATTTTACAGAAGTGGCAGAACTAAAGTACAAAGACAATCTAAGAATTTTTGTTTTTTTATATAACTAAAAATAATTAGTTATTTCTTTAGACAAATTGCTGCTATCAATTCATCCATAAATTATGATTCTGTGTTAAACCAAAGGAATAAAACATACTAAACAAACACGCAAGTTGTACATTAAAAACAAAAATACTACTTGAATCTCAAAATTAGCACAAAATAACACATACAAAAGATTCAATATTACAGGAAGAGTTACTTGATGTGTATAGGTACCTCGCTTCACCAAATCTCCTGGACTAAATGAGGGTAAATAAATACACTCACTGGTCTGCCTCTTTGAATGGGAGATGTTTAAAAATCTGTATAAGTATAAACATACACTATATCGAAATATCTTTAATTTCAGACCACCCCTAGGTTGTTAAACCTAAGTGCTGACCACGATTGAACTGGACACACACTACACTGCTGAAGTGTTTGGCTGAACAAAGTGAAAAAGGTTGTCTGTTTGACCATCTACAGTAGTTAGTGCATTAAGAATGTAAACCAAATGATTCAACAGACTTGGTCTTATTGTCCTGCAGTATTACAGAGGCATAGCCTGGGGAGGGGGGAGTCCGATGACCACCATAATATTATAAAAGGTCCACTACTTTTTGATTTTTAAATAAACACGTGACTCTTATGTAAGTCACTTAAGTTATTTGTGTAGAAGAAAAGGTGCACATGTCTTTGGAAAAAGACCCCCCCTACACACACACACACACTGTACTGCTGGCTATATCCCTGTCAATTTAATGGGCTTAAACAAGAAACAAAAGTTACTTGACCACTCAAACACACTCAGTATTTCCCTTGGAGACATGAGCAATGTGCTTTGTTTTGTTTTTTCCTCCCTCAAGTTCCTGTAAACAGATACACTTTCCACTCATTCAACCAACTCCATGCAGTTCAAAGGTTATTTTAGGTTTCATCAAATGATAGTTTTATTTTTCTTCTGTTATCCTGAAAACAAATAAATAAGGTTACTAGTTAAAATCTATTTTAGTTATTAAAAACAAACACATCAAAATTCTTTATGTATATATATATAAAAAAAAAAAGTGATTTTTAATCTGGTACGTAAAGATATTAATTCAATGAACATGCATATTAAACAAGTTTTTGAATGCATAAAATACAAATGAAAATTCAGTAGACAAATGTCGAAGAATGAAAAATCAATACATTTTGTAAAAAAATTTCATAAATGTAGCAAATGCTTAATAAATCTTCAAATTTTGTTGTAAACTGACATTTTTGAATCCACTGTTGATTGGTATCAACTGCAAGTTTTATTCCCATTAATCACTTGACATCAAATGGACATTTTTAATCCCGTTAATCATTTGACATCAAACTGACATTTTTAATCCCGTTAATCATTTGACATCAAACAGACATTTTTAATCCTGTTAATCATTTGACATCAAATGCACATTTTTAATCCCATTAATCATTTGACATCAAACGGACATTTTTAATCCCGTTAATCACTTGACATCAAACGGACATTTTTAATCCCGTTAATCACTTGACATCAAACGGACATTTT